ATTAACAATATGTACTAGATCTTTCCCAAAATTGAACTTTTTTTTAAATTTTTTCTACGTATCGACAAAATTTAAGAATTACTAAAAAAACATTATTTGGGGAGTTTTCTTGATAACATTTTCTTGGATAATGTTACTATATTGCTTGTGCTGGTTATGAACGAGAAGAATCAGTCAAAAATATTGATAGAGGATTCTGAAATTCACTACTTATAGCTGATTGTATAACATCAATATAGTATTGAAACTTTAAATCTCATGGGCCAAAGGACTGGATTAATATCTCAAACAATATTCTACTCGTTGAGAGCAGCAAGAATTTAACATTTCAAACTCAATATATTCAGTTTATAAAAAATGTGTTAAAATCGTTCAATTCGCTCATGTACAATACTAAACCAAATACTACTATAGTTCTGTAGGAGCTTTACCTGTGTTTTGCAACGTAATATGAATGTTAATAGATGTGACAGAGCACCACTACTGATATGTTCCAAACATAGTTTTATAGCCAAGGAATCTATAAAGTATAATTCATTGTACTTATTTTCATAGAATATCAAATTTATAAATTTTTCAGCTGTTTAGAGTATAAAAATGATGTCCTTTGGGAAACGTACAAAATACTAATTTAAACATTGTAGTTTTTTTCTTTTTCTCTGAGAATAAAGATTTATCCCAAAATTATATCTTAAAAATTTGAAAAGTCCCGGGAAAGAACCCCAGATTAAAATTTAATTCGGAAAAGTCTAGTGAATTTTATATCTTGGAAGCATTGGAAGATTTACAGACATACCCAATCTCAATATATACAATATTCAAAACATGTTATCCTGTAACTTTTAAGTATCACTAAATCTACGTAACAGACACGTAGGGAAGAATTGATCATGATCATAATGAGAATCGGGGGGAGAGCTGGTCTTGTGGTAAAGCGTAGAGCTTTCGTCCCAGAGGTCCTTGGTTCAAATCCTACAATTCACCAATAAATTTATATTTATTAGATAATGCCTAACTCTCAAACCCTTGCCTGTAGTAATCAAAACCGTCCCGGGAAAGAACCTAGTCATAGGATATAAAGGATTGGGCTCACAAAAAGGCAAGATCATATCATGATCGTATGACAATGGGGGACAAGCTGGTCTAGTGATAGACCGTGGGGCTTTCGTCCCATAAGTTCTTGGTTCAAATCCTATAATTCGCCGATGCATTTATACATATTAAAAAAACCGCAAACTTCAAGTCCTAGCTTGTAATATGTAAAACGGTTCCGGCAAACAGCCTAGTCCTAGAATATAAAGGGTGGGGCTTAAAAAAGGCACCGAACATGATCGTGGCAGGCCAAACACGGCTCAAGGAAAAACAAACAGATTTAACACTTGGCTCAATCTGGGGCCTAAGGAGATACGGAGGTAATGGCCCACTGTTTGTGTAGAGATAAAGTGTTTAAGCTGGACACTGCGTTGGCGGCGGATATCCACGTGATCTATTTGACGCTTCTAAAAGAATTACTTGCAATAGGATCGAGAAGGGATGGAAACGTCAAAATGTTATAAGATTAATTGCATTTTAATACAAATAAAATATAATACACCCTCCATCACAGTTCGATTGATTTAGATTGCACCACAAAATGGTGAATTTATAGGAATGATGGCAGTGATCGGATTTGACCAGTCAAACCAGTGATAATCAAGCCCAAATGATCTTTATTATAAAATATTTTATACCGGGTAAATCAGACCACCCGTGCACATATTTAAACGTGATATACACCTGCTTGAGTAACTCACTGACTCACTGATCAGGTATACAAATGTTTACCCCCTTCTTGAATAGCTAGGGATCTGATTTTTTTTTGTGGAGGTCCGTTTCGGTCCCAAACCACACAGAAAGTCCAAAAAGTTACATTTTCAAATAACAACCCCACCAAAAAATTCCCTTAAATCTCCCTTTTTTTAGAAAATACGTTTTTTTTTAAGCCTATAGCTCGAAAACGGTAAGAGCTAGCAAATATTTGAAAGAATTTTCATGTTCAGGTATTAAATTTTCTACAAGACACTCTCAGGCGTTATTCAAAAATCACACACCTTCACCTTCAAAAAACGCCCTACTTCTTAAATCTGTAAAATGACTTGGATTTTTGACGTGTTTTTAATTTTTAAACCTACTTTTCCGACATATATTTTAACTTTCAACGATCCCAACATTGAAAAGTGCCTAAAGTGAAATTAAAAAAGTGCAGTGGGGGGATTTAATTATACTGTAGTATTGTATAATAACACCAATTCGTAAAATACCAATAAAGAAATTGTTTAAAATTAATCTTATAAAATACCTTATAAATAGTAATTTACAAAATACTATAATGCACAACCTCCATAGTAAAGGGGTTAAGGGTATAAAAGGGTTCAGATTTTTTTCCAAAGGTGGTGGAGGGAATTGAGTATATGAAACATATTGTGTAATATCGTCTAGAGGCTATTTTTTATACATTATTTGAAAGTTTTATTTTGTTACATAAGAGATATTAGAAGTGCACTTTGCTGCACTTATTTAATTTAATCTGGCCTAAATAGTTTATATTTTAAATTTGTTTACTAATTGTGGAATATTTTATTTGTCTTCTTAGAGTGTGATTTTATCTCCCAAACTATTTTGCAGCATTCTATTCTGACACGAATGGTAAACACTTTATGCAAATACAAATCAATAGACGAAAGTTACTTCTATATTCTTCATACGAATATAGCAAATCATTTCAACGTGTTTTCGTGGTTTTCACGTACATTGAGTAGTCAGTATTTGCCATCTGCTTGGCGTTAGAGGATTAATGCTTTTATGTCACATTATGCCTTTTTCTTCATCCTGTTATACACTATTAGCGATATTAAGACTTTTACTAAATGTAAGAGAAATAATTTGGTGTGATGTGAAGGGATAGGAGGTAGAACATGGGAAGTATAAAAACAAAGAATTAAGACTTGGTGCATTTTGTCGGCCAGAAATTGTCAATTTAAAAATGCTACGATCCAGTGTGATAGTTTATTTTTAGTTTATTTTAGTAGGCTACTGAATGTTTCTATTTTTTTACGCTATATGGTAATGTGCTTCTGACGAAATTTTTTAAAGGGCAAAACTTCAGTCCTTATGGTTCAGGCTCGATCCTCGCTAAAAACAATAGATATCGGACGATGTTTACGAAATCCCCAAAATCTTCTGAATAACCATTGAGGAATGACAATTTGACAAATTTATTTTTTTCATCCTCTATTAACTACATAAAAAACACGTTTTACCTTCCCATATCAGCAATCCTAAGTAGCCGTCAAATATCATGTTCTTTAAATGGGAATTAATATGACTTGTTTAGGGACATATGTTTTAAAAAGCCTAATCAGACCGATAGAAATTTGCTAAGTGAGCAGGTTTGGTGTGGTGGGGTATTTAGCCTTGTTATAAAGCTATAACTCAGTAATTTGGATCCCATCTTAAGCTACAAGTCCAATTTTGTATAAAACAAAAACTGATAGGTAAGACACCTTTGCAAGGATGACCTTGGTAGGTTAATAAACTATCTCTATATTGGAAAAATACTTACTCCAAAAGCCATACGATATGTAATTTTTATTTTTTTGTAAATCCTTGTTTAGAGTTTAAGGGGAAATATATAGTGGAAAGTTAATGTTTCCATATCACAGTCTATTTTAAGAATATTAATTCAACAGGAAGTAGTAAGAAAATAGTATAAAGATTAAAAATAACGCTATGTTGCATTTTCCGCTTTATTATCATAGCTAAATGTATTTTCTTGTCCTACGTGAACGAAACCGATGTACTTTCTTCTTTTAAGTAATAAACAAATAGTTTTAATATAATCGTGATGGATTATCGTTTATTTTAACGGTTTTCAATTGCAGCTATGCTTTGATACCCTTATTGGGGACGACTAACTAGCCTTTATGATATTTTGTATTCTCTTTAATGCTGGATATTAATACTAATATTACATATACCTAAGGTAAATATACAATGGTATTATACCGCATGACTCTACAGTTCAATGAACTTAATACGAAATAACGACGTTAACACAATCATCTTATGAAATAAAAACTCTCAAACTTTTCTAATTCTCAAGGAAGTGGTCTTTTAACCTACGCTATAACAGGTTGAAAACTTCTTTGAGAAAGTTTGTAAAACAAAGATTATAGTTGCCAAAACACATTAGGTTAAGCATGAGCTTTAAGTGTACCTATAATCTTGGTATGCAAGATTGTGTTGTCGTTTACACTCATATGGTCGTTGCTTTGTGCTAATTTTGTCATAGTCATATTGTTATAGTAACGTTAGAAAACCCTGGTACAATGTTTGTGTTAGTATAATTTATTCTAATTAGAACCTTTGACTATCAATACAACTAGATATTCCATCCCCATGTTAAATTTGTAGCCAGATCTTTTATCAATATCGTCGTAGTTGATGTGAGCCACCTACACATTGTGCTGATCTAAATTACTAAATTCTGTCGAATACACAACAATTTTTACCAACTCAAACTTAAGGAATGACTTATGATGAGTTATAGCAACTGTTATGACCCAACAACCTGGTCAGCAACAAAAAGTAAGGCATTGAATTTTAGAGACTAGTGCATTCTGTGACTGGCTCAAACAACTACGTTATTTTTTAATAAAACAAAATGGCAACAGCTGGTCCATAGATGGGAAGTCTACTTCAGGATCCAATAGTCAATTGTAGAACTGAAACCCTGGGCAAAATGTAAGCTGTAGCTGAAACTCTCCAATATAAAGGCAGATACGGCAGATACTTCAGAAAAGGTGTTGGGATACTTTTTGATCACATTAGTGTAAGGACATTTGCATCATAATTTAACCATGCATATCCAAGGCGGCTCCAAGGTACCGTTTTCAGCTGAAATAATCTAGATTTTGGATTTTCATTTATGCTGTATGAGTGATAGACTGGGGGCCTTACAGCGGGGGCCGAGCAGAGAGTGGTCGGAGTGAGATCAGCTGTCCGAGGAGCTTACCCCCTCCGAAGACGTTTCACGGCCCGTAAGTTTACCCAAAAATCCCTTTCTCAAATTTTGGGAGTTTTCTGTATGTACAGAGTCACTTAGTTAAAGGATGTTAAAAGTGGTTAGTATACATTACTACCGTGCTATTCATGTAGTCCTACATAGGGTACTGGATTTTTTCGGAGAGTTACTAGGAGTAAAAGTTACATAAACAACTTAATGTTAATTATATTCAATAGTGATGATCAAAAACAAATAAAATTATGGCGAAAAGCCAAACACTATTAATCAACAAAAACATAATAAAAAATACATTCCACTGCTAGTCTCAATAAACATGAATAAGTGAAGTAAAATCAATGAGTAAATTCATTAACCAAAGATTAAGCTTTGAAACATATTTGTATCAATCAATAAAAGTGTATAGATCAATAAATTTATTATTTAAGGCCCAAATATTCAAATATTTTACTAGATTGCAGATTAACTGTCGACGATAGATACAAACTAATTTGAACGTGAAACCGCACAATAAACATTCATAATTATAACTCGTCAGACATATTTCTTATACCAACCAAAGCATAAAAAAATATAAAAATGCAATTTTACGAAAAAAAAAATTAATAAATAAAAGGCTGTTGTAAGAATTACATTATGACAGCGATTAGGTTAATCTTTCTAAATGTCAGCCAGAAATCAGCTGTTTAAAGACATATTTTAAAATTAAATTTCGTTTATCATAATTTACAGAGGTAGTAAATTAATTTAAATAATTCAATTAATAAAAATATAATATTCTTATTTTATTATCAGTCATACAATGATATTCAGTTAATGAACCGAACCGAAAGAAGTGTTAATTAATTTTATGGCTTTGATTGTTTTGTCATACTGTATTGTTGTTAGTTAAGCTTATTAAACAACTTGATTGAATTTGTCCTGTTTAATATTGATTAATCATACATATTCAAAATATCAAAAACAAATAATTTTACAGTTATTCATAAAATAATCACCATATTTCGATACTGGTGAAACTGACCTAACCTAACTTACAGAACCCTAACCACATCAAAGTAAACTTAGTGAATTCTAATTCTGGTAGGTACTAACTACCTTGTAGGCTGATGTACATGAAGTTAAATTAAATTTAAAGTATTTGGTGCGATTTAAAGAAACTAAAACGATTATTTGCGTCAAAAGCAACAAAAAAAAAAACACACACACACACAAATCACATTAAGAATGTAACAAGTGTTTAATTAGAAGCCAATGTAAACTATTTTACATATTCAACTGGGTAAAAGTTAAATGAAGCAATATTTCATTATTTGAACAGTTAATGTGTTGTACAGCAGAAAACACCCAAAATGTTAACTTTCTTTCACCCATTGTCAGTTTGTTTGGTTGTTGTACTGGTTTGCTACATGTTGTAAAATAAAGTTCTTATTGCAGGATTTTAAATCTCCGTATTTGACAAGTTTGAGCAGCTGGAGGAAAGAGTGTTTAAAATACATTACTACACCATGTGATGGTGTTAGGCTTCGAGCTATACAGGGTGTCCATAAAAAACGTTTCAGGACTTTGGGAAATGAATCCTCATACTAAAATTAAGAAAAAAGTTTATGTGAAGGTATGTCCGAAAATACACATTTACCCAGATATCCACCATTTTGTTTTTTTATACTAAAATATTTTTATCTGTGAAGTTTTTCATTCGATAATTAATTATGAAATTTGGTAAGCATGTTAACATACACAAGACCTATTATAAAAAAATAATTCAGTTGGTCCGATGGTAAATTTCAAAATGGAGACTGTTTGAATTTTTATTTCTTAAATAACTCAAAAACGGCTGATTCTATAAAAAAATATCAAGAATACCTTTTTTAGCATTTGTAATTCCATATCAAACAATACCAAGATAAAAAAAATCAGATAGCAGATAACTGAAATAGAAAGTTTTTTAATTATGAGATCTGGCAAAAATAAGTGTTCCCCGACTAACTTTACCTTATTTTTACACCAAAAACGTTATATTTCAGTTATCTTTTGTCCGATCTTTTTGATATTGGTATTGTTTGATAGAGAATTACAAATGCTAAAACCAGTAACCTTGACATTCTTTCATAGATTTAGCCATTTTTGAGTTATTTAAGAAATAAAAATTCAAATGGCCGCCATTATTATTTTTCTATAATAGGTATTGTGTATGTTAACATGCTTGCCAAATTTCATAATCATCAAATCAAAAACTTCATAGATAAAAATATTTTTGTATAAAAAACAAAATGGCGGATATCTGGGTAAATATGCATTTGCGGACACACCTTCAATAAGCTTTTTTCTTCCTTTTAGTATGAGGATTCATTTCCCAAAGTCCTGAAATGTTTTTTATGGACGGCCTGTATTTGTTTTTCGATTAATCGAAGTTAATAAAATGGACGTTTTTTTACATATAAATATGTGTCCAATATAAAGCATAATTTGGTTTAAATTCATGCATGAGAAGTAGCATGCCTAAAACTCACAGGAACCTAAGCCCTTAAATTATGTTTTGTACAGATATTTTATTAAGAAAACTCACTTTTAACTTTAAGATTAACGAAATTTTTTGCAGCTGTTATATACCGGATATATTTCAGCGTGGGGTTTTCCAGTAGTTAAAAACACGTTTACTTCTATCACTAAATGACTTCTTAATCAGCAGAGGATAAGTAATTAAACTTACTTTTCCTATATAATTTTGTATTTATAAAATTAAACTACAATTTCAATTTTAGAAAACGATGATTAAAGTAACTTTTAAAATATGACTCAGTTCTAAAACTTAATTTGAAATTTACAAAAAAATATACGTATTTAAAGGATGAGACGTTTAAAAAAAAATGTATAGGAATTATCAACATTTTTAGGTTTTTTGTCGATCATGGTATTTTTTTTGCCAAAAATGTTGTCTACGTGGATAATGTTTACATCCTTTGTATGGACGTATTTTCCTTTGTGAGGTAATTAATAAAATTTTAAGGAGGACTAGTGAATACCATTAAAGTAAGCATAACCGCATAACTCTCATAAGTTTTCCTATTTTCCCCTCTAAAAGCCCGTTGAAAAATAACCATTTCTATTGTCTGAGTTATTCCTGCTTTTTACTGTAAACTTTCCCTGTACACCTGTAAAATAACAGAAAAATTCATTGTTATGATTTAAAGGTCACGTACATCGACTCTACATTTAAAAACAAACCCCAAAACTATAAATAAACAATTAAAGAACCCAACTGAGGTCCACATCTTTTTCGGATATTTTGATAACAAAACAAGTTTTATTGTCCCAGGGAAAAGTTAAATTGGCTCAAGGTGTGAAGTTAGAAAAGTTAGATTTCGATTTCAACGTGTTTATTGTGAGATCTCACAAGAGTATTGTCGTCAAGAAGTGAAGGAAATTACATTTCACAACACCACCACATACTCCGCGGAATCTTTGTACTGCTAATTTTCGCTGCGCCTTTATTCTGATCAAACAAATCTCATCTTCTTTCAGATTTAAACGTAAACTTTGGTAAATATTTTTTTCCTACAGTCACCCGAAAAAGTAGGCTTCCTTGTACTGTTTATACTGTAGTACAAAGAGCTGCTAATTGCTGCATTTACTTACTTTGTCGTACGGTTTATACTTTGGCACACATCAGGATTCCAACCAAACAACACAAAACAGCGTGGTTTTATTATGCACGTAATCCGTGTCCGCTTGGGAATAGGTTGGCAACAAAGATAATAATACTATGATCAGCTGATTGACTATTATAACTACGATTTAACCTGGAATTTCGTGTTTGTAGTTTGTATTATATTTTCGTTCAACGCTTGGTTTGAACATAACCTGAAGTGTAGTATTTGAAAGATGAATAATAAGTGGGCCTAACATGTTTGAAAATAATGAACTCAGTGAAAGTGATTTTGAATATAATGGTAGATTAGAAATAGTAGAAACTGAAAACATGTTTCATTAAACCTGTTACCTGAAAAACAAGAAAGAAGTATGAACGAGAATACTAACTGTTAGACAAATAACTATTGTAAAGTAAAATCTAAGAAGTACTACGGAGCATTTATTTACGTTTCAATGAGCAGTTTAGAAGTTTATGCAAATATTACATCCACCTTAATGTTGAATGCATGTGTAAGGCTTTCAATTTACTTTATATACATTTTGAAACATATATTGTGAAGTCAAATTGAAGAATACCACTTTTTTGGGTTCAGGGGGGTACCAAAACGGATATTTCCACTCAAACAAACAAAAGTTGAAAAAAAAAACAATACTTTCTTCATACTTCTTCATACCAAAGATTAGACGAAACAAAATTCTCTTCTGTTTCAAAGCTATCAAAAATAAACAATAAACCAACACATGTTTTGACACAATCAATTGTACCAAGTTAAACGCCAATTTACATTATTACACCCTGTATGATTAAATCCGATTTCCAGCTTTCAAAACCAATTATTCGGACTCAAACTGGAGTGTTAAATCTGTTGAAATCGGCCGTGGTATTTTGGGAAAAGCCCAAGCAAAATTTGATTTAACACAAATTTGGGTACACAACGTTGAATCGTGTTTGGAAAACGAGGCTAAGTTGAACATACGACTAAGCATTAAAACTCATGTTGGCTTTGGGTGATGAAAATACTTTTATAATACTGTTCAAATATTACAATTTTCGTAACAAAATATATTGTATCAACAATATAAAACATACAAAAACATCCGTTTATGTTTTTTGTTGTTTTGATATTTCAGAGAGCTTGAATACATTTTGTTGTAATGTTTCAATTCCTTAATTTATGACAGGAAAACACGATTTTCTTATTAGTTGCATTACAAATGTAGGTATTTTTTCGTGTGGTACACTGTGATATTTATAGGAAAAAATTTCAAGTAAGCTTAATAGAAGGGCTGGCAGTTTAACCATAGACTAACCAACACAAGTAAACTTCCCATCCCATTGTAAATTTTGAAGCTCTTTCTTCG